ACACAATGGCATATTACATTTAAAAACAAAAACAAAATAATAATATTAAAAACGGTCATTTAAAAATACTGAAAAGCACATGCACCATGGATAAGTTAGGAAAAACATGTATATACAACATCCCATAATAGCACTCACTTGCCAAAATCAATTAAAATCCTGCCAAAAAACCAAAGGTATTTGTCTGCAGGCATAAGGCCAGAGGAAGGGGACAAATCCAGCCTTTTGGGTAATGCATTCCATAGCCTGAGAAGGCCTTTCCTATACTCTTTAATCTTCACATGGAATTACTGGAAAGGATCCTGGAGTTCATCACTTGAGAACTGTAGCGTTTCCCTTCCTATATTGTGCTATATTGTCCACATGGCTCAGGAAATGCCCATCAATGGAGCTACCTTCAGCAGAAGTCTTTCCTGTGTCTACTGTAATACAGTAAGGACATGTAATAAGGGCATATGTAAATATTTCAAATAAGAGGAGTCCAGCGACTCTCCAGTGGCCTAGCTCTGTTTAGTTTTCATAAACTAGAAGATTTTCTATTTCACATTTTCCATGGGTACATGGAATCTTCAGGCACGTGTCCATATACTCTCAACCACAAACAGAACCAGAGAACACCTACCATAATGTCTCCTTTATACATGTGAGCACACAAAAATCCAAGACCGTGGAAAGGTAGCTTAGTTCCAGCATGCCATTAAATGACATGCATTCTTCTCAAAAGCAATTTTTCCAAGTGGTACCAAATATCTGTAGATACAGATTTATATCATGACCCCCAAACCTTTGGATGTTTGTACCCTAAAAGTACTGAGATTTTCTCCCTAACACATCTGCTTAGGATTGTATCCTCAATATAATCAATAAAAATGTACCTGTTGGATCTTGAGGATCTTGCTGAGCAGTGACCACAGGCAAAAACCATTCTACAGAAAAAGAGAAAAAGCATAGTTTCCATCCTCCATTTTACATCTGTTAACGTTTAATAGTTGTTTCAGCTTAGGTAATGGCTTCTTCTCTCTGCCTGCCTCAGAAAGATGTAATTACAGTCCCCATTTTTCAAAACTGACAGAAATATTATCCTCTCAAGGAAAATCCTGAGGAGCACATGAGGAGCAACAGTGTCTGATCCAAGCACATCTGGGTAAGCTATACATGAGACAAACAGGGCCAGGCTCTATGGGTGGATGACCTGGCAGTTACTCATGGTAAGCTGAGGGAGGGGGGGCACAATAAAATACATCAAACTGAGGGCACAGTTATATTATTAAAATAAATTAGGAGCTCAGTCAGGGTTTTTGAAATCAGTTTGAAGTCACGTAACACTCATGTGGCTTTTGGGTCGGTCTGTGCGTCCTCTTGGGATAACTTTTAACCCAAGTGTAAGAGGTGCAGTATGTCATGGTGGTACATACGTGGGCTTTTAAGAATCATTTTAAAATTGGCACTGCAGGGGCTCCAGCCTTTCGCCCTCCGGAGGTTATGCATTCCTTGAGTGAAATGTCTACATTGAAAAACTAAAATAACTCCCCGTGTTGCTGTAGCTAAAGGGAAACACTCTGGTTGTTGGCACATCATCCTGGAATCGCTTTTGAGGTTTTTCTCCTACACCCACTCATCTTTACACTGGCTCCCTCACAGCCACTTGCTGCCACCACCACAAACTCAGTCCCCACATTGAGGTGATGTAGCTGGCAGGGACAAAAAACATGTTTTTCTGCTGTGGTGTGATTTTTAATATTTGTTATTTTTATTATTTTTATATTGGAATAGCACTAGATCGAGCGGGGGGAAACAGATCAGACTGTAAAGTTATCCTTCGGAACCCCCTTTCTTCTCCCACCTTCCTTAGGGAGATCAACACAATTTTTTCTGGTTTGTGCCCATCTCTAACTCTTTGGATATTTTAGTGAGTTTTTCAGGACTGTTTTGTTTTTTTTCTGGTTTTTTGGAGTAGATTTCAATGATGGGGAGGGGGGGTTGGAGTGCCAGAAAATACGCAGGGGAGACCTAAAAACGAAATACTCAAAAGAAATTTTCCATTTTGTGTTAAATGAAAACACCAGTGCATGAAAAACAAGAAAAACCAAAAGAGATACTCCCCAAAGAACTTAAAACAATGCAAGTTTAAAAAAAACTTACCATCCACAGGGCTAGTAAAGAGCCTTCCTGGATTTTCTTTGTTTTTTTTTTTTCCATTTTCACTGCATGCCACTCCCTCCTATGAATGTCTTCTAACTTTTTGCTCCATTCTCAACACAGATTAGCCTTCTCTCTGCCTATCTGTTCTGCTCTATCTCCCCTTACATTTCTCTTTCCTTCCTTCCTTCCTTCCTTCCTTCCTTCCTTCCTTCCTTCCTTCCTTCCTTCCTTCCTTCCTTGTTTTTGCCAATACACCACATCTTAAAACCTTCACATTTTCACATTTTTTATTCTTCTGTTTTTTACTCTTTGCTTTGGTGCAAAGGTGACCACAATAAAATAAATTAAAATGAAATTTAAAAAGCTGATATGGCCAAGTAAACAAAATCAAATGACACACTCACAAACTGAACAGCATCTATCTGTACTTGGTACTTGAGTTCACACAAGTAGATGGTGAACAGCTGGAACAAATCAAAACAAAAGTATACCACTACTCAGAAGTAGTGTGAAGAGCCACACAAAGCGAGGATTTTGTCTTGCTTTAACTCTGTGGACCTTAGTTTTAGCCTTGTGTCAAGGATGCTGTACCATTATCTTGGGTGCAAAGAAAGATGAGTAAATGCTCATTATGGACAAACCCTAGTCCCAGCATATTGTACTTATAAGCCTTCAATGTTTTCCTGTTGCCTCTTCTGTCGTATTTCTTTCCACGTTGTGTGCTTCAAGCACAGGGCCCCACTACTGCCACTTCAAAGGCATTGTGGAGCTACTCTGACATCCTATTTCTCCACTCTGGTAAGGATAAAGAGGAATTAAATAATGGCAAGAAAAGAAATTCACAAAGACTGAAAATCAAAACTACTGCCATTTGGACTTCCCATAAATTCCTTGAACAACTTTATGTTGAAACTTATACTGAGTACAATAGGCATTAACTGTGTTGAATTTAATCAACTGCTTGTTTGTGATATAGATACACATTAACAGCTGATTTGCCTTTAGCCATTTTTCAGATGACAACATTTGCCTCCACTATTGTGATAATTTTCAGAACTGTGGAGCTGTAAGCTAGGTCAGTGACTCTTCCATAGGGAACAGTTTAACATAGTTTAAGGACCATAAATATATTTTAAAAGAAAATACCTGGCCTCATACTAAGACCCTATTATTTTTTGGATAAAGTCCACTTTATCCAAAGCAGAAACTGGCAGAACATGAAGGGTGTCAGTGGAAATGCTTGAATTTTGAATGTAAGCGCCTCCATGAAATCTTCACCTTAAGGTCACAGACAAGTTTTTCTTTGTTTATGTTTTGTAGCAAGTAAGGAATCTATAGTTCCCCAAAGACCTCAAAATGGTGGCCATCCAGCAAAGTTCCGATGGGAAGATGGAAAATGAGGTGGCAAAAAAAAATTAGAACACTGGAGCAAATCCCTCTTCCTCCTAACGAGGTTATGCCCCTTCGGCTCCTGTTCTCTCTTCTCCTTGGATCACCAGTTCTGTACCTTCTGTCTCAAATCATTTTTTTTTCATTTCAGAGCAGAACTTCAGCATTGGCAAATAAATGGCAAATAAAACTAATTTGATATTCATGATGAAACTCACCAAATGGCAGGACAGCAAGAGCTATGAGGCACAGCAGCTTCTGAGCTCCACAGGTTACCATTTCTGAAAAGTAAGAGAGAGAGAGAGAGAGAGAGAGAGAGAGAATGAACAGGTTGTACTTGTACATTTATTGCACATATTTGTCTTCCACAGTTGCATTCTCTTTAGTCTTCCTACTTGCTATGATCACAGCCGTATCTTGCTTAGCTGCTCCATCTGAAAAGCAAATTATTCAGCTGGAACATAATACTGTCATGGCTTTCCGTTTTCTTTCTTTCCACCCAAACTTCTTTCTGCCTTTTCTCACCTACTATCCGTGCCAGTTGCTCCCTTATCAATCCTTCAAGGAGTCACTCTCAAAACCTTTTCCACTCACTGTTCTCCATGCAATCTGTTCCTTTCTATTGCAGACAGTGCTCTTTTCCCCCCCTTAGCTGGTCCCCTAGTTTGGCCGGAGTGTAGAGCCGCTCCCAGTCCAAGCAAATGTTCTTCTTTGGCTTGACTTCCACCCTCAGTTCCAGAAAGAAGTCATCATGCAAATGGAATGAGGAGGAGTGAAAACACTGTCAGTTACATGGCCTCATTCTAAAGTTGATTGTCCTCCTATTCCCCGGGTAGGGGAATGGCTGTGGATGGAGTGCCACGATCTGCTGGTTTATTCCTGCAGTGGCATGCATTCAATTGAGCTACATGTTGAATGCCTGGGTAGGAGAATGTCCAAACGGACGAGAATTATATTGGGCCCCACCCACTGTTGGAATGTGGTTTTCTAAACTGAATTTGGCCCTACCCCCTCCCCTCCAAAAAAAGATTTCCCACTGAAAGATATAGCACCTGCATGAGGTGGAAGGGCCTTAGAAGCTCTGGATGGCTTGCAACTTCGGCTGTCTTGGGAACTGTTTCCTGCATGTGAACCTCTTCGGGCACATTCCTAGTTTTCTTTTTTATATCTATTTAAATCCCCATGGGATTTGGAGTTGTATTCTTTTGGTCTTTGCTGTCCTTACATGTTGGATTTCAAGTTGTTTGGAGTATAGATGAATACAGTCATGGCCCGCTGGACGATTACCCTGCTCTACGACGAATCCGCATTACGTTCACGTTTTTGCGATCGCTTTTGCGATCACAAAACAATGTTTTAAATGGGGAAATTTCGCTTCACGTTGATCGGTTCCGTTTCAGGAACCGATTTTTCGCTTTACGACGATCAGCAAACAGCTGATCGTCGGGTTTCAAAATGGCCACCGGATTTCAAAATGCCCCCCTGCTGTTTTCTAGGACGGAATACTCACTATACAGGCACCGAAAATGGCCACCGTATGGAGGATCTTCCCTGGACAGTGAGTTTTTCAGCCCTTTGGAATGCATTGAACGGGTTTTCAATTCGTTTCAATGGGATTTTTTCATTTCGTTTGACGTTGTTTTCGCTCTACAGTGATTTCGCTGGAATGAATTAACATCGCCAAGCGAGGCACCACTGTAAATGGATGGCTAGGTAGAAGTCTTGTGCCAGCAAATAATACCGTCTGTACACACAATACACATTGGACTTTCCCCACCTGTGCCACCTTCACCCTGAGGATTAGATGAGCAGTAATATAAATTCATATCCCTTTTCACCCCATACCTCTCCAAAAGTACATTGATTATTTTGCTGGCATATAGCATTTCCCCTTCAAAAAGACATACTCCAAGTATAAATTCCAGACATCTTTGAAATCATTAGACTTTACTATTCCTCTTCTTATTTTCATTTTACGTGTTAACTTATCATTAATTATTAAGCTCCACATTTCTTAATACCAATCTTCAAGATTAATTTGTTAGTTACTTTTCCAATTGTTTGTAAATATTAATCTTGGAACTGTAACCATTATAACAACTAACTCTGATCTTTTTTCAAATGTCATTCTTAGTTATATTCAGGAGGGCAATAATTGGTGATATCTGAATATCGTATCCAATAATTTTTCTAATTCCTTCAAAAACCAATGCCCATTCTTTCTTTCTTATTTCACATGTTCACCACATATGCATAAAAGGCCTCTTTTTCCTTTTTGAATCTCCAGCATTGAGATGGTATATTTTTATTTATTATATTCAGTCTTACTGGAGTAAATACCATTTCAATGCTACCTTATAACAGTTTTCTTTTACCTTATAGATATATATTCTTCAGTATTCTTTGTGACCATATCTTGTTTGAATCCTCTCTTTTAATCTCTTCCTCAAAGTCCTCCTGCCACTGGTTTTTCATCATTGCTTGTTTGAATCTGGAACGTATTAAAATCTTATAAATTACATTAACTGTTCCCCTTCTTTTGTTTCGTTCTTCTTCATATTGTCTTTGTTCAATAATCTCCTCAAATTTGTCGGTTTTCTAATTTATCCTACTTTTCTAGTCCACTCTATAGTCCAACTTTCTGTTTGGAGTATTTTTAACCAGGATATTCCCTCTTCTTCCCCCAAAATTTCCTTTATAATATTTTAACTTTTATCTTTTTCATCCATCTCTTTATTGTATTTAATCCTTTCTCTTTAAATTTAGTTTTAAGAGTTTTGGGGAAACTCTGGACCTCCACTACTTATTGCAAAGGTGAAATAGGTACAGTATATCACAGAAGTAAGTACACCCCCTTACATTTCATAAATATTTTAGCATATCTTTTCATGTGACAACACTGAAGAAATGACACTTGGCTACAATGTAAAGCAGTGAGTATACAGCTTGTATAACAGTGTAAATGTGCTGTCCCTTCAAAATAACGCAACACACAGCCATTAATGTCTAAACTGCTGGCAACAAAAGTGAGTGCACCTCTACAAGCTGTATACTCACTGCTTTACATTGTAGCCATGTGTCATTTCTTCAGTGTTGTCACATGAAAAGACATACAATATTTATAAAAGACAGAAAATGCTAAAATATTTATGAAATGTGAGGGTGTGTACTCACTTCTGTGTACTGTATATCTGTAATTATTCCAGCACTCTACCGTATTCATGAGAAAGGGATTCGTTATTCTCTTAATTTCGTCTACAATTATTTCTTTAAAAAAGAAGCCCTGTCAGGATGTTCTGACATTTTCAGTTCCCCAATATTAGGCTTCTATTCTGTACTATAATATCTGGTATATGTCTAATCTGATTTGCGATGTAATATACTTTAATATTAGGTAGTCCAAGCCCTCTTTTTTGTGGAATATACCATAGCCTTTTATTGATCCTTGTTCATTTATTTCCATTACAATAATTATTTATTAACTTCTGCCAGTCTTTCAAATATATTTCTCCAGTCTTTACTGGGAGCATCCAAAGGAAGTGGATTTCATCCACGAAAGCTTACATTAAAACCTAACAGTTAGTCTTTAATGCGTTACCACGTTTTTGTGGTGTCCATTTATTCTTTCATTTTTACTTTGTTTTTATCCATAACATAACCATCCTATGCAGTTTTAGCGTTTCTTTCAGAAAAATATGCCCACAAAGCTTTTCGGAAACCTTGAAAGACTTTTTATGGTTTTTCAAGAAAAGATCTCATAGACAGAAATACCACTGCAAGGAGAACAAAGAGATTCCTCCCCACCCTTCATTTTCTTTCCATAGAAAATATTCCTGGGATAGAGTATGAGAAACGAAAAGTGTGGGTGTGCTAAAGTAACAAAAAGGGAGAAGGATCAGTGAGAGACTCTGTGTGCAAAACAACGTATATGTCCATAGCAGGGCACACAGCCATGCTAATACAGTTTCATATACAGTATATTCAGATTCTAAGGTCCTAAATCAAGCCTGAACTATCTCTAGAGGCAAAAATGTTGAAACTGAGGCTGTCCTACTTTGGGCACATCATGAGAAGGGAGGATTCTCTGGGGGAAAAAAAACAATAATGCTGGGAAAGATGGAAGGCAACAGGAAGAGAGGAAGACCAAAAACCAGATGGACTGACTCCTTAAAGAAAGCCACTAGTCTGTGTTTGCAGGAGCTGAGGAGGGCAGTTGAAGACAGAACATTTTGGAGATTCCTCATTCATAGGATTGCCGTAGGTCGGAGGCAACTTAACGCATGTAACAATGTATTATAGACTTTAATTTCTGGAAACTAGTGCCTGATTATCATCTTTTCTCACAGTTAACTGAATGGATAAGCATCACGAATCTTACCCTCTTTTTCTTAGAACTGACTGGTTTGCTCAAGGTGTTCTTACTCCCACGTTCCCCACAGGTAAGAGAAAGAAAACATAGAGAGACAACTTTAGAATAAAATTCATATTTAGTAAATAGACCTCTGACAGATGGAAGACCAGGGACTCAGCCAGTCAGCTGGCAAGCAGGATGATGACATCAGTCAAGAGTCCACAAAGCAGATGCTTAGAAAGCTAAACATCCTCCCTTTGGCTGGCTCTGAAGCATGGGTGGGAGCTGGCCTTGGGGAGCTGGCCTGTACTTTGAGAGGGAAGTGTTAAGGGTAAAGGACACAATGTGCAGGTTCGAAGAGGAGGGGAGACTTCTGGATTTAATTTTGCTTCTCTAGCAGCCAAATACAACGGAAAACAAACATATATAGGGACAAAAATGAAGAAAGAGAAGAAAAGCGGAGGGCAAGTCAAAGATTTACAGCAGGGGTAGGTAACTTCCAAAACTCAAGGAGTCAAAGTCGCCCACCCCTGAACCTTGGTGGGCTGCACCCACTCCAACTCCCCCGAAATCTTCTTAATTATTAAAAATCAAAAATGTCTCCTTGTGCCCTCCACTGCCAATATTATTATTATTATTATTCAAAAACTACAGGCACAGTTAAAATTATAAAGGCATTCACTGGTATTATATAACAGATACAAGTTTTAACCAAAAACCTAAGTATCTGTTAAATATCAACACAGTATGTATGCTGTTCCTAATATTGCCAGTTTTTGTAGTTCTGATGGTGTGATTTCTGAGATCTGCAACTGCTTATAGTACTGTGTGAAATTTCTTGATATTGTTCCCAAAACCCCATGACTATGGGGCTCACTGAAGTGTGTTTCTTCCAGAGGCAAGGTGCTTCAACTGCCAGGTCTCTGTACTTTGTTAATTTTTCCAGTTCTTTATTTTCAACTCTGGCATCCCCTGGAATTGCAATGTCAGTCATCTGGACCTTTCTTTGATCTATTACTACTATGTCTGGTGTGTTATGTGCAAGGTCTCTGTCTGTGTCAATTCGGAAATCCCACAAGATCTTGGCTTCCTCATTTTCTGACACCTTCTCTACCTGATATTCCCATGGATTTTTGGAGGCCGGCAAGTTATATTTTTTGCATGATGACCAGTGCACTAATTTTGCCATTCTATCTTGTCTAACTTTGTAATCTACTTGTTCAATCTTTGGACATTCACAGATGAGGTGTGACACAGTTTCATCTTTTTCTTGGCAGTGTTGACATTTAATAATATTAATATTAATATTAATAATAATATTGATATTGATATTGATATTGATATTGATATTGATACTAATAATATTAATAATATTAATAATATTAATAATATTAATATTAATATTAATATTAATATTAATATTAATATTAATATTAATATTAATATTAATATTAATATTAATATTAATATTAATATTAATATTAATATTAATATTAATATTAATATTAATATTAATATTAATATTAATATTAA